ATTTTAGACGGCGTTGGATGGCTCACCACAAATGAGCAGTGCTGCACATGTTTTTCAGTAAGTTACATCGCGTCTGGTGGATCGCAAATCCTAACTATTAAAACTTACGATCCATAAAATGAATAAAAACACCAAAAACTAACTAAGTGATTCATGGGGTCTATAAAAGAAAAAAACTTCGATGCTGTTCTGATAGGTGTTTGGGCTGCTGATGAGTGCCCGGTAGGAACGAAACACCTGTCCAAACGAATACTATTCTTTTCTTCTTTCCACACCTGCGCGCTGCTCGTCCTGGCTCGGCGTTCTGTTACAACAGCACAACCGCTACACATCGTACAAACATGATGTTCTGAGAGAACAAAATGTTGACCGTGAATTTAAATTTTTCAAGTTTAATAACTGAAAATAATATTGAAAAATAAAATATTTCAACAAATTTATCAAGGTCCAAATTGGTTCATCTCATTTTAATACAATTTTTATTAATGATAATAAAAATGTTTCAAGGTTTTCAAAGAAAAGAACATAAATATAGCTTACGTTGAAGAGTTTGAAAGATATCCAAGCCAGCAACTCATCAGAAAATTTCTTTTGAGGACCAAACAAGAAAGTCGAAGTAGGAACTTAATTTTATGAATTAACTTCAATTCAACTTTTTACGCCCATCTATTTTATTTTTTAAATATTGTCCCGATATATAAATTAAAACCAACTCACGTTACAAATATGCATCGACGTATTTCACTCATTTGAAAATGCAACGAAGAATGCTTACCAAATAAAAAGATTAACATTTTAATCAAAACATCGAACGGGCAACATAGTGAAACAAACGAGCAACCAACTGAACACCAAACAGTCGTGGTGCTCGCAGTGCCGAAAGAGGACAGGCGTGAGATAATGCTGGTGGCCAGGAGTCTCCAGATGACGTCTGGTGATTTTGTTTTTTTCACCATCGATATGTTGCCTGAAGAAAACGTTCTCAACCCTGAAGATATTTGGGCGAGTGATGACGACAGGAATGATGAGGCCAAGGAAGCCTTCGAAGCTGTGTTCCACGTAATCTTTTCAAATGATTGTGATGATTGTAATGATTTTAAATTAATGCCGAGATTTTTAATGACTAAATGAAGGTAATGACTTTAAATAAATGTGATGATTTCAAATGAATGTTGTGTTGAATTGTGAACATATATGAAAATTTGTGAACCTATGATTTGTAGTTTTGTGAGACAACAATAGTAGTGTATTCTAAGATTATTTAAAAAAAAAGTTATTAAACAAATCTATTAACTCTTTATTTATAAAATATCCGTCATTCGTAAATTAATCAAATAATTTCTCAATATCTTTTAATCCGCTGCATTTAATTTTTTATAGTTGTTAAGTTTTGAAAATTTTATTTTTAATATATACGTTATCGCGTAAAGGTGACATTGGCAGCTCTGACCAACGGTGAGATAACAGACTTTCGCAAGGAGGTCGCCAGAAGAATGTTGTTGCCTCCCTGGTCCCAATACATCAACAGCTCTATCAAAGTAATATTCTTTATTACACAAGAAAAATTTTTATAGAAAGGAGGCCTACCTAATTTGATGTTCCAAACCAACCAAAAACGCATGCATGCATTTCGTAAAGCACGCTTTAATTTTGAATTATTTTTAAACGTCAGTGACAAAAGATTTACAAAATTATTTTTCAATAAAGTTCAATAAATTGTTACTAGGATTTGAAAACAAATTCATACAAGTAACAAAATTAAATACATTTGTTCTAGAATGAAAACATTCGATTTTTTTTTAAACAATGAGTGCTAATTAAGTTCGTGAACAGACACATGAAAATCCTGTGGGATCTGCGTTATTCAAATTCGTGAATGTTTATCACATCAAGATTTAAATATTCTCGTTTGATCTTTCTTTCTGCCAAAAGTTTTAATATATCACAAAATAGTTAATTTTACCTTTCTCATTAATCTTTATCACAGCATATCCATCATAATTTTGTCATAGAACAAGAACGAAAGTCAAAAATAACCCAGTTTTTTTTTAATCTTCATGTTTGTTTATAACAATGAAATGCGGCTGAATACTTTAGCAATGCATTAAGCAGATGCAATCGTATTCGAACGGTGACAAGTATGCAGCTTTCCTCTACGATTCCGTCTTGCTGTACGCCATGGCCGTTAACGAAACACTCAACAAAGCATCGGATGTTAGGAGTGGAAGTGTTATTGCTCAGAATATGCGGGGCAAGTCATTTACAGGTCGGACTGCGATCATTTTAAATTAGTTCGAGTCGATCGAAATTCATATTATCTATTGCTTCATCGCTCTTATAAAATGGCTTGGATTGAAAAACGAAGAAATTATTCAATAAATCAGATGAAAGTCACAAAATAAAAAAAAGAGTTGTTTAAATTTAACTGATGCAGGAATGACAGGGCAGGTAGTACTGGATGCGAATGGAGACAGGGAACCAGATTATTGGTTGTTGGACATGGCTTCAAATGGTTCCTTCATCAAAGTGGCTGAAGTTCTCAACTTCGACGCTGGTGTCAGAGTAACTTCGTTGTTGCTTGTTAAATTAAATGCTGTTCAGTCGTCTCTTGTGGCGGTTTTGTACTTTATTTGACTTTACATAACGATTTCTTTTAATATTGCATTTAATTAAAGTCAACTTTACAAAAAATGTTTCAGAAAGAGTTCTACGCATTATTCAACATGTTATCTAAACATGCATAATTAAATTTTTCAATTGACCTTTACATGGTAGACATTTAATTTAAACAATTATATTGTTTTTAAAAATTATTCAATGAATCATCACTAACAGACAACAATAAGTAGAAACTTGTTTAAACTGTCTAAACTAAACTAAACTTAGGTATTCAAGAAGAATGAGGTGAAAATAAGATGGCCTCGTGGAAAAGTTGGTAACAAATACATTCCCAAGGACAGTCCTAAGTGTGGTTTCAGGAATGAACTTTGTTTGGACGAGGGGTGTAAGTCAGACACTTGTAATTATTTAGCATTATGTGTTAACTGGTAGCGTCACTTTACGGATACTAATTCAACGATACAAAATTCATTATATAAAATGATATAAAACGTAAAACTACACATTCTGCGATCTAAAATGAAAATATTTTGTTGGTGGTGGCTGCTGTCTCGTGAGTCGCAACGAGTCAAATTTCTTTATAAATTTACGTTCAGGTTACGTAGACAAGCTTAAAGCTTCGAGTCTACGATGTCTTTAATATATTAAAAACATTTTTATTCTTTTTGGTGGTTTATATAAAAAAATTTTGGTTATTAAAAAAAGTTTATCAATTTTTAGAGGTTAATTTATTTTCTTGGGGGTTAAATTTTTTATTAAAAAATTATGTAATTTAAAAACTAGTGAAAAAGATTTATTTTTATTTTAAAAATGCTTTAGCGATTAAACTAAAAGTACTTAAAATTATTTTTCGCGAGTTTCTTCTCCTCTTCGCTGAATGATTTGAATAAGATGGATAAATAACCTTAAACTTAAAGCGTTTCAATAAAACACTGTTTAATTTAACTTATTTATAGTTATAATTATATCCGTGTAATTTATTTTTTGCAGTCTTATCACAATACAGCACCATCTCAATCAGCTTCTTTGTTTCTTTACTAGTTTGCCTTGCGTTAATTGGACTTGGCATAGTTTTGTACAGGTTATTAAATGTGAGTTGTTGAAATATTTTTTATCAAACATTTTTAACTAAATTTGTTGAAGGAGACAAAAATTTGAGAAAGATCTGTTGATCAGTTCCTGGAAGGTCAAATGGGAAGATGTTGATCCAGTGAGATGTGGCACGGTGAAGGAAGGAAGCACTGTTGGTTTTGTTTTGTTGGATGCTGGTTTTGTTGTGTTGGATGTTGGTTTCGTTGAGTTTAACGTTTGATTTGTTGTGTGGATGCTGATTTTGTTGTGTTGGATGTTGGTTTTCAAATGTTGGATGTTAGTTTTGTTGTGTTGGATGTTGGTTTTGTTGTGTTGAGTTTTCCATTTTATTGTTGGATTTGTACAGCGTTTCTTCTAAATTGACTTCTTTATTTTTTTTTTGCTGTTGGAGGTTTTCAAACGTCTCTTCGACTGATGTTGAAATTTTTCGATCGACAGATAGCGCTCACCTAGGATTTCATTAAAGGATCTAGGTCGTAGATCCAATACAAAGTCAAAATTTTTTCTAAAGTTTTGAAGTTATCTACATGACGCTTCTTTGAAATGTTGTTATTAATATTTCTAGATTACGATTTTGTTTTTTACGTCCAGCCTACGATCGGCAGTTTGAGTCAAGCAGCGAAGAAGCAGCTGCAACAGAAGGAAGGTTCTAAACAGGGCAGAACTGCATTAGTAAGCAGCGACAATTTTACTGAAAAACCGACCGATGATTCGAAGCTGAACAAGCAAGAGAAGCGACCTCCATCATCTCATTCTTTTTTCCATGGGACCATCATCAACGAAGGAAGTTCTACTCAATCTAAGTAATTCATTGGTGAATGATGAATTTTTGCGTTGAGCACGTGTAGTACTTCGACCAATCATTTATTTGTGGACATGCTTAAGATTTAGTAAGTGCAAACATAAGCAATTGTTTTATTTAATAATGTCGTTGCCACCTAGGTTACACGCTGCTTATAACTTTTAAATCAAAATTCGAATGCTCATGGAACTAACTATGAGAGCCTAATCAAACATCGAATTTCTGTAAAAGGGACACTACGTGGAATCGACGCGTCGATTTTATTTTTACTGACCTTTATAAATTGTTGTTTTTCTGTTTAAATAAAAACATCTATTCTAAATTAATTAATTCACTGTTAAAAACCGTGAAACTTTATAATTTTTTAGCACGGCATGAATCTGTCGTTTAACATCATTCTTTACATCGTAAATCAGTAGTTCGTTAATTAAATATTAAAAATATAATTGCGACAAACAATGGCAGGTCCATTCCAAGTATAGGCACGGGTGGAGGACAGTTGTTCTCATCGGTGGGCATTTACAGGGGTGTCCTAGTGGCCATCAAGAAACTTAAGAAGGAACACGTTCAGATAACCAGGGACATCCTTATGGAATTTAATCAAGTTGATAACTATTTTGTCTTTTTACCTCTCATGCAAAGGCATTTAATTGAATGTAAAACGTTATTTAAATATAAATCATTATTTTTAATAATTTATCTAGTAAATAGTTTAATTCTCAGTTTAACAATTACAATGGTTTGAAAGTGGTGTGTAAGTTATGATGCGTGCCGGATATTTCGTTGATGATGCGTTCAGGTTGGGAAACTAAAAATGACTGTCGACGGAACAATTGTTCAACTAAAAACAAAAAACACCGAACAAAAATTATTTGAAGCAACAAATGATTCAAGATGCTTTAAAAGTTTAACTAAATTCAGTTTAATTTAATTCAGTTAAATAAAAATATTAGATCGCGAATAGAATGCATGTTCCACCTTTTAAGGTCACAGGAAACATACTTCTCGAACTTTAGCCAAACATTTTGTAACATTATTATAAAATTGATTGTGACAACTTTCAATTGGTTGAACAGTTGGAAACAATTGCAGATGCGCGACATAGCCCACGAGAACTTGAACGTCTTCGCAGGCGCCTGCATCGAACCGCCTAACATCGCCGTCTTCTGGTACTACTGTCCCAAAGGAAGTCTCAATGTTCGATACTTTCAAATTTAATTATGAATTATTTTAATGAAAAAAAATTATCTATACTTTATTTCCAACATAAAGTCGAAAACTTTTCCGAACATCTATACGTTAAATAAAAGCAGGATGTTTTGGAGAACGAAGCCATAAAGTTGGACAACACTTTTAAGTTGAGTTTCATGTTGGACATCAGCAAAGGGATGCACTACTTGCATTCCAGCCACCTATCATCACACGGCAACCTCAAGAGCAGCAACTGTCTTATTGACTCCCGGTGGACGCTTAAGGTTCACCATTGATAAATTCATCCATCCATCCATCCATACATTCATTCATTCATTCATTTATCTACAAATAATTTTTCATCTTTAAAATTTTATAATACTAAAATACATTAAAGCTCAACTCTCCATCAAATATTAGTGAAATTAGACATAAACTCACAAATTATATTTCGTTCATCATTCAATTTTTCATTGAAGTTCGTTCAAACAAAATTATGCAAAAGATAAATTTTTATTCCTAATAAATTTGAATTGTTCTCTGACAGATAACGGATTATGGACTGGCGAGTTTCCTGGCAGGACAAAGTTTCTACGAAGCAGAGATGGACATGTACAAAAGTAATGAGCATGTCCTATCCATTGTTGTTATCATCTATAAAATATCGTCTTAACAAAATGTTGCTATATATATATATACATATATATATATATATATATATATATATGTGTGTGTGTGTGTGTGTGTGTATAAGCAATTTAAATCATTATTCTCAATAATATATCAAGTAAACAATTTGATTCTCATTTTAAATAATCAATTGGTTTGAGAGTGATGTGTGAGTTATGTGTGCGGAGTATTTTGCTGGATTTCGGGAGATTCAAAATATTATAAACTTTGCAGTCGAAGGAAAAATTGTTCTACTAAAAACTATAATCACTGAACAAAAATTGTTTGAAGTAACAGATGATTCAAAATGATTTAAAAGTCTAAGATAAATTAAATATTAACCGAAAATAGAATATATGTTGTTCGAAGGCCTCCCAGTTAGTAAATATTTTTGGAATGACTTGCATTCAACAGATAGCGTATTTGACTGGTGCCATTTTTGAAGATCATTAAAAAGTCTAAAAATAGGGATGGACGACAGTTGCCAAAGATATCGTAAATATGTTTATATTACCACCGATAGTACGCGATCCAGCGAGAACTCTACCTTTTGCGTTATGTATAATTTTTTGCAGCTGAAATTCTTTCGGGGAGCTCCAAAAATATATAAGATGAAATAATTTAATATTTTTTTACCTGTGGGTAAAAAAAAACGTTTGCAACAAATAATAAATGATAATTAATTACTCAATTGTTTATTTTTAAAGAAAAGCTATGGACAGCGCCTGAAATTTTGAGAGAAAATATTCCGCCGTTGAAGGGTACGCAGAAAGGTGACTATTTGTCCATTAATTCATTTTATTCATGCTCCTGTCTTTAGAAATCGTTGCTGAATGTCCGAATGTTTTGTTTCAAAGTTTCTCCTGGCCATTTTGTAGTATAAGCCATTCACCCTAGTTAGCAGCACCAACAACAAAATCATCAAAACTTATTTTCTCGAAACGACTGAAACCCTTAGGCGATGTTTTCAGCTGTGCAATCGTTTATTTTGAGATCATAACGAGAGCAGAGCCCTACAACTTCGACAACATCACCCCCAGAGGTGTAAAGTTTGCTGTTTTCCCGTTGTTTTATTGTCTTTTGTGTCGTTTCATCGTCTTTTTTCTTCTGTCTCTTTATACAAAATAAAAAATTAAAGAGTTTAAAGAAATTTTAGAATTAATCTAATTGCATTTTATCCTTGTTGAAATTAATGTTTATATCTATATTGAAATTTATTTATTTATTCTTTTCAATTTTTCGCAATTTCCGTTAAGTTCTCTCATACCAAATTCATCACCATACAAGAAATTTTTATTAGCATTGCAATCGAGGTAACTGATTTAGAGGTAAAACAGTTTTTGTTTACAAAGTAAAAAGTAAAATTGCAGATGTAATCTGTCGAGTGAGGAACGGCGAGAGCATTGCATACAGACCAGCACTGCCGGAAACAAGTGAAATGGGCAGGCAAATCCTGGACCTCATTCGATCCATGTGGAATGAAAACCCGGATCTGAGGCCAACTTTTCATTTTGTGAAGTCGGCGGTCAGCAAGATATCTGACGGAGAGTAAGCAGTGGATTTTTTATTTACTCATATGATTTTCCTTGAAATAACAATCTCTGTTTTCCTTATTCTATATCGGTTCTTATTGTGTTTTAGTAATTCAAAAGAGTCCTTATCATTCTTGTCGACATATTAATATGTTGGAGTACGGATGGGCTTATTTTTCAGTTTCATACTCAAGCGTTCTAGTTGTTGAGCATGCTTGATTTGGCTTTATTAAATAATACAAAGTAGCAACATCATTCGTTCTGTTAAAATATTGCAACGTTTCCATGAATGATGTTTTCCACTTTTGTACCGAAAGCAGCATCAGCATTCTGGACACCGTGATGAAGATGATGGAGAAGTACGCTCAAAACTTGGAAGAAAGTGTTGAAGAAAGAACCCGCCAACTTCTAGAGGAGAAGAAAAAAACAGACGAACTGCTCTACAAGCTCTTGCCAGTGTATGTGTAATCAGTTTCATTTGTTTAATACAGACAACTCTTCAATACAAATCCTTGATAGTAATAAATAAATGGATGGATGTTGGATGTGTTTGAACGACAGGAGTGTGGCAGAGCAGTTGAAAGTTGGAAAGTTTGTGCAGCCTGAAAACTATGAACAATCAACTATTTACTTCTCTGACATTGTTGGCTTTACAAGCATATCAGCTGACAGCAGTCCTATGCAGGTTCGTTGGGGATGATGTGGGTGGAAGGAGAGATGTGAATGAATGAAGATGCTTAATTTTCGAAACAATATTTTTTAGCAATATTTCAAACAATTCATTTCGAAAATTTGTTCTCATTTATAGCTTTTAAACTGAGCGCAAATTCTCACACACCTATTCCTCACTCATTGATTCGCATTTGCTCACTTTTTATTCACTCACTCACTCACTCACTCACTCACTCACTCACTCGCCCATTAAGATTGTGGACTTCCTGAACGACCTGTACAGTTGTTTTGATGACGTCATATCCACGCATGACGTGTACAAGGTAGGTTTTCAGTGGGACGACGGGACATTTGGTTGTTTGTTTATTTTCTAAAAAATAAAAAAAAATTACGATGTACTGTGCATATGAAAAATTTAATGCTGAATATGTCGGTGTAACTCGCTCGCAGCTCAATGTTGATAATGACTAATCATCACTGTATCGACTGCATGCGCTGCCGTGCTTCGACCAAATTTAACATTCATTCAACGTCGGATAACGCAAAAGTAGCAAACAGCACAACTGAACGCATAAAAACATCTCCAAGCACGTGATTGATGCAAACGGTTGGAAAAAGACCCGCGCACACACACACTCGCACACACACGCACACATACGAACGTTGCCAGGTTGAAACGATCGGAGACGCATACATGGTGGTGAGTGGCGTGCCCAGCAAGAACGGCAACAAGCACGTTGCGGAGATTGCAAATGTCTCGTTGGACCTGCTCAGCGCCGTTATGTCCTTCAAAATCAGACATCGACCTCATCATCAACTCCAGCTGAGAATTGGTCAGTGCCGTCTGTTTGCGTTTGCTGGTCAGTGTGGTCGATTCAAACGTTGCAGAAACTTTGGAAATAAAGTTTAATGTCAGAATTGTGAAAATTTTATATTATATTGAGACTTTAAAAATTGAGCCAAGTTATGAAATTTCAAAGTTGTTATTTAAAAGAAACGATAGAAAATCGCATATATAAGAGTTTTCAAGGGTTAAACTATTTAATTTATTAATTAATTTAATTAAGCATTAAAGATCAAAGCATGTAGCACCATTAAACGAACGATCTGATCACTTCAATGAGCCAGGTTTAAATTCAGGAGCAGTGGTGGCGGGTGTGGTGGGCAACATCATGCCCAGGTACTGCTTGTTCGGAGACACCGTCAACATGGCCGCCAAGATGGAGTCCAGTGGCAAACGTAAGCAAAGTTTCATAGAATATTAAACATTGATAATTTATAAATCTAAGATAAATTAGCGCTTTTTGTTTTAGTTCGTTTGAGCTGATATTTTTAATCGAACTGTTTTGCTTACTTTCAACAAGCCTTTAATGATTCTGCGATCATTAAAAAGAAAATTTAGCTATTAAAACATGACGGCATAGCTTTCATTTGATTTTTCATTTTTTATTACTGAACTTATTTTCATCTGAATCTAATAATTATGTCTCATCCTTGAAGTTCTCTTTTAAATTTATCTTTTATTCTGGCGACGGTAGTTAGGCGAAAATATTCAATTTCAGTTTTAGTTTAGAGTTTAGCCTTAGTTACAGTTAGCCTTAGTTATTTTAGTCTTAGTTTATCCTCTGATCGTCTTCTTCTTTTCACTTTTACTCAATTCATGCCAAAATATTTTTTATTTTTTTAATCATTTTTTTGCAATTCTTTCCTCCATCTTCTTCTACTTCCCCATCACTTACAAAGCTTAGAGCGAATCTCACGACCTGTCTGTTTGTTTGCAAAATTTATTGAGGAGCGCTGTTGAACATTGCAAAGGCTGTAACTGGAAGTTGGATGATCGATCGGATTGATTGATTGATTGATTGACTGACTAACTGACTGACGGACGGACTGACTGATTGATCGAAACCAGTAACAAGACTAAGTTAAATGTTGATAAATTATACAAATGCCCTTTCAAAATGTCTTCATCTAATCTAATGTTATATCATTGTTCATTAAAGTTTCCACTTTTTCACCATCATCTGTTCAGCTCTGCGCATCCACCTGAGTCGCACAACCTACGTGGCTCTCAAAGCATTCAAAGATTACAAGATAACTCCAAGAGGAGAGATGAACATTAAGGTTTAGGCCTGCACCGGTGTTTGTGCTCCGATGGTTGTCTCTATGTGTCTGGTTTTTTTAATTTCATTTGTATATAATTTAACTTTAATAATTTAATAGTTTAAACATCAAAAAACAACGCACGATCAATTGATGGTGACCAGGGCAAGGGGCTGCAGATGACGTACTGGCTGCACGGCAAGAAGGGCTTCAACAAGCCGCTGCCTCACTTTGATAAGTTAGTATGTCACGTGATGTTGCTGCAATAAATATCGCCTGTGTGTGCTGCGTTGTTTTACGTTTTCACTGTAGCCTGATCAACATGTCGTAGTTTGAGCTTTCTCTAATGTTAATCCTGTTATGATCTTCCCGCGATGTTCTGGGGCTTCAAAAGTAGGAGCAGTTGGTTCTGCAAGCAAAGAGTCATCAGCTTGAATCGTTTACTTGACTACCGACTAATAAAATCAAATGATGCACTTCACAAATATGCCTTATAGAGCTAAACATTGTGGGTCTGTAAAAAAGTCAGAATTAAGTTTAAAACTATGAAATTCTCAAAGCATTTTAGTTACTAAGTTTACCTATGATGTTCAACAAATATTCAATGACAATATTAGCAATTTTTCTTGATTTATGTATTATTTTAATAATAGTAGATAAGTATTATAGTAGGACTTCTTTCAAACAAAGCACGCAACCCCGTTGAAGATCAGTTTCCACGTGCAGTCCCACCCACCTTCACATTTGCGCCTCTCCTTGAAGGGGCACACCGTTCTGAAAAATAAAAACTCTTGCCTTGTCAACCGGGCAGAACACTTTCAGTTGAAAGTAAATTTTGGTAAACCGCGCGAGAGTGACGCATGCATGTTCTTCCTTTCTTATGTATTTTATGAGAAAATATTTTCAAAAATGGAACAGCTCGGATGCATGGAAAGATGGTGAACACAAGATGATGAAGATGAACTTTGAACCTGTCGGGGAAGAAGAGGTCACCAGTAACATCAATGACAGCAAAGTCGTTGACAACAACAACATCAACAAAAGTTTAAGACGCCTGTCTGATGAAAATTATATTGGAAATAAAATCGCTGCAAGCGTCAACAACAACAACAATATGACTAATAAAGGATCAAAAAACAATTTTGTTAGCAACATCAGCAACTTTGATGACATTACAAAGAACGCAATCATCGAAAGAAACAGCAACAATACAAACAACATCAACACAAACAACAACAATACAAACAACAACAGCAACAACAGTAGCGACCAAAGTACACCAACTATTAACAACAACAGCAGCAGCAACAACAACAAAAGCAACCATCTAGATACTGTTGCTGCAACCGTTGCTGAAGATGCATCAAACAACAAGAGTAGCATGCCCCAAGTATCTTGACGATGAATATGAGTTATTAAGAGAATAATGAAAATAAGTATACTAAACATAAATGACTGACATCACGATACAAATTTTATTTGAACAGCCATCGATAGCGACTGACTCCATCATTTTGGAAGTTTATGTCTGCGGTACATGCTCTAGGTGTCAACAATGTATGCTAATTTGGTTGAAATTTTGTAAACTTTTTGTAATGATCTTACCGCGAATAAGTTTTCTAGAAATTTATTTTTTGTGTTAAGTTCTCCATTGGTGACGATCTATTGAATGTTGCTTTTAAACGATCAATGAAGCGACACTTGAACGAAAAGAGATGTTCCAATGAAGGGAAAAAATTAACAGCAAAATACAAATAACATCAATAAAATAAAAATGTTGTAACGCGAACATGATCTAAAAATACAACACGGAACAATATGCACTGCACTGTTCGAAGAAGAATTAATAAATATCAACATGTATTAATAAATGTAAGTTCATGTTCATATGTGATTGTTATGTAAGTGCGTTGGTACACGGAAAGTTCCAACCAGAAACAGGTGATGGTGATGAAATGTGCGCATGTACGTATGTGAACTGTACAGTTTGTATGAGCTCGATGAAGAAATGAAAGGAGACCCTGATACGTGTGCGCGAGTTTCGTTGAAAACAAAAAAATGAAAATCATTAACGTTTAAAATACTCTAAACACTTATATCATATCAATCGGGCCGATAAAATAGATATGCATGATGATTCATATCATTCATGCACCTTCATTCATGCACTCCTGCAATTCATACACTTTCATTCATGCACTCCTTCATTCATACACTTTCATTCATGCACTCCTTCATTCATACACTTTCATTAATGCACTCCTTCGTTCATTCATCAATTTGTTAAAAAGCAAGAATGACGTGAAGATGTTTCATAAATATCTAACAGAGCAGCATTTATTTAAAAGCAGGCCGCCTAAGCTAAAACGAATTTTCAAAAACTGTTCAACCAACTAAAAATTCCCCAGCTTCGATGCAAATGATAAGAACAGAACATCAAATTGGACGATAAAACGAACACCATCTCGCTTCGAAGTACAACGTTGCTTGCACTTACCTCCATTCATTTGTTACTTGTTCATTTTTTACAAACAGCTGAGTAGCACAAAGAATACAACACAAATAGTGTAGGACGAGTAGCATGTTGTTGCTTATAAGTCTTTCATCGAATTGAAGCGAATTAAATAATAATAATAAGGAAATAATAATTGAAGGGATGATTGTTGGGATGTGTGGAGGAATTTTCATAAAAATTATGCACTGGTTGGTCCTTGAGGAATCTGTGAAAGAAGTCTACGCGAGGTGATTTGGAAATGTGCTGAAACATGGTGAAATGTGGTGACATGTAGCAAAAGATAAAATGTGGTTAAATATTGAATTATTCTAAAAACTTTATGAACTATTAAACTTAACATGTTATAGTACGAATGAATGGAAAAGTGATCGAATGAATGAATTGGAGGAATGAATGAATAAATTGGATAAAATTGATGGATGGATGAAAGAGGGAATGAATTGGATACAAAAAATGTGAATAGCTGGATGAATTTGATGGATGAATGGAAGCGAATGAATGAATAGAATGGAATCGCAGTGAACCGACAAATTAGTGAACGCATACGTTAAAGAGTGACAATAATAAATCGTTGAAATCAGCCAGCCAGCCAACCAAACAACCGACCGACCGATCAACCAACCAACCGACCAACGTAATATAAAATATATAACCTAAATCAATCAATCAATGTACTCAATAAAACCAACTAACCATCCAGACCAGTTAAGCTTAACTTAGATCAAACATGTCCTTGGGTGTCACATGCATGTATGTGCATTAACATTGAGTTACTAAATGAATGATGATGATGATGAGGTTCATGTTCACGTGTGAGTGAGGTAGGAGGGGTTGTGGTCATCATCGTTCTCATTGTCATCATCATTTTCATTGTGATGATGTTGTTGCTGTTGTGGTGGCTGGGAGGTTGGTGTGTTGCTGGTGGAACTGCTCAGGTGTGGACTGTTTTCTGCTGTGTGAGGTCATGTGATTGGTCGGTTGTGTGGCTGATCGGTCGGTTGTGTGGCTAGCCGGTCGGTTATGTGGCTGGTCGGTTGTGTGATTGGTCGGTTGTGTGATTGGTCGGTTGTGTGGTTGGTCGGGCGGTTGTGTGATTGGTCGGTTGTGTAGCTGATCGGTTGTATGATTGGTCGGTTGTTTGGCTGGTCGGTTGTATGATTGTTCGGTTGTGTGATTGGTCGGTTGTGTGATTGGTCGGTTGTTTGGCTGGTCGGTTGTGTGATTGGTCGGTCGGTTGTGTGATTGGTCGGTTGAATGTGTGTGGTTGTTAGTTTAATAGGTTGGCCGATTGAGAGATTGAATGATATAATGGATTAGTTGAGCCGCAACACTTGAATGTTTAAATAACCGGACGTAGCCGGACGATTGAAGTGAGTGGTTTGTCCAACAGCTGCACGCGCACTCTGCGTACGCGCATCCATACCCGTACATTCACTCACACATGTTTCAAGCAAATGCCGATAGTCTGCTATACCTGACTCGATTGATTTTCTCTTGAATGATTGATTTACTGAACAAGAACATGTAGGTTGACGAAACTGATTTAAAACCAACCAATCATCACCAACGTTTAAGAAAAGTCAATCGATTGATTGAGTGATAAGTTGACGGGAAAATGAACGACTGACTGATTGAGTGGCTGAATGAGAGATTGATTGATTGATTGATTGATTGATTGATTGATTGATTGATTGATTGATGGATGGATCGATTGAATGAAGGAGTCACTGATGCAAAATAAACCTGATTGTTTTGTTTTATTCTTTCTTTTTGTTGAATTTGAGCTTCTTTCTTTCCTCATTCTTCTGGCTGTCAAGTTGAAACCACCAGAAAAAATATAAAAATTATAAAAATTATGAAAGTTATAGAAATCATTGAAAATAGTAAAAAAAAATCCAATCCAACAATAAAAAGTAATACAGGGGCACAAAAAGAAAAATTTAACCAAACCAACCAACCAGCCAACCAACCAACCAACCAACCAACCAACCAGCCAGCCAGCCAACCGACCAACCAACCAACCAATTAACCAGCCAACAAACCAACCAACCAACCAACCAGCTAACCAACCAACCAACCAACCAACCAACAAACCAACCAAACAAGCAAGCAAATACAATTGATCAGTCCAACATCAACAACAGCAAAAACATAAACAAATTATAAAAACCCAACAACAACAATCAATGGCAAATTAACCCAACAACTACAACAACCCACGAACAACAACATTAACATAAACAACAACATTAACATGAACAACAACATCGACAACGACAACAACAAGAAAAAGATCAACAATAACAAAATGAACAGTGGAAACAGCCAAACAACATTTCTTGTCATGTCTGTAGCTGTCTTCCTCATCACTGGCGCTTCCTTCATGTTCACTCAACTTCTTCTGCAACTGAGTCCCTGACGCTATCCTGTTACAAAAAGTAATAAGTGGGGGAAAAAAAGTAGAAACGAGCCACGACAAACAAGAAAACACAACAGCACACATACACACGCACGCACACATACACACACACGCACGCACACACACACACGCACGCACACACTTACAAGTACAGACCTTCTTGAAGCAATCCTGGAACTGATCCTGCCCATGCCCATGCACTTCTCGAGGTGTGGTGCGAACCTGGACGCAGCGAGGTTCCTGTGGCAGGTGGGGCAGATGCATTCCACTTGCTTCTTCGTGTTCGGTGGCTGGCCAAACACATCCAACCCCTTCTTGTTCACTATTTCTGAATGTGGCATGTTTCGATTGGTGATGGTGGTGGTGGTCGTCGTTAGCAGCTGTCGATGTCACTATTTTGTAACGTCGTTGTTGTCGTGGCTTCGTGCAATTTTCGAGGCCGATGATGCACATCTAAGCAGGCTTTTTACATAAATTTTTTTTTTCTTTCCAAAAACTTTTTCTAACAATTTACACTTAACACATTTGAAAACTTTACAAAGAGCAAAAACCTAAAAAGACACAAACATTTACCATACTGCTTCTGTGATCTGAAATTATTTATAATGAAATTAATTAATAATTAAATTAATTGAATCAATTAATCAATGAAATTCGTTAGTGACAGGAAAATTATAGCAACAAATCAAACAACATAGCAACATTAAACTCCCTGTGAAACAAGTTCTTGAATAAAATTTCACAGTTGTGCCACACTAAATAATTATTCTGATCACATATTTTAAGCATGCATAATTATTTTGTAATCAAAAGTGAAATGAAATAGTGGCCACATGCAGCAGATGACAACCATAAAAGCGATGCACGAATATAACAGAAAACAATACATCCAACCACAAACAACACACATCCAATCACAAACAACACACATCCAACCCCAAGCGACACACATCCAATCACAAAGACCAAACACAAAACAATTACTCAAAATCCGATTCGTCAAGCAGAAAGTAGCCCTTCTTGCACGACCGATGTATCTCAAAGCACAAACCGCAAGTAACATCATCTATCAGCTCCTCTATCCACTCCTCGATCGTGCTTTCCTGAAAAGCGACATTTACAAATTCCAATTGTAAAAAAGCTTAAAGGTTAATCACACTCTTCCCATGTCGAAAGAAATCAGCATGCATAAACACCCTATATGAATGCATGTTAAACGACAGATCCCACATGAGGCATGTAAAAGACGGGGATCTTTTTGTCGTGTTCGAATCCGGTAACTGCATGCACCGCAAAACAGCATCAAATTTCTTAACTCGTCAAAATTCAATAGTATAACCATTAATCTATGAGAGAGCAGAAAGAACAGGTTGAATTAAATTGATTTACTCACACAACAGTGCAAAATGTAATATTCCAATTTTTAGTTTTTGTTATAAAACAACACAAATTATAAATATTCTGTTATTCGATTGGATAATAAAATAAAATAACAAAACTAACATTAGAGGCAAAATCGGCAATTTTTGATTTGGATGTGCTCATGCCTCCCACTCAAAAACTTGAATAACTAATCAAATAAATATTAATAATAATTAATTAAATCAATAAATTAATTAGTACCATTACTGAATTTTAAAGTTTACAGTTTAGAGCTTTAGACTTGTAATAAATAATTTATTTATTAATCTATCTTCTATCTAGTTGATATCTTATATTATTAAAAATTAAATAAATTACCTTGTTGAATTCAATTAATTAAATACTAAATAAAATAAAGTTGAATAAGAATAATGAATACAAGATAGCAGATGTGAATCTGATTTTAAAAATTAACAATTAATGAATTAAGCCATTAAGGATTAAGAATTTAAGATTGATTTAATATTTTAATTTAAAAAATATTAAATTGATTCAAATCTTTTATTTTTAAAAAATTTTACTGACTTCAGTATTGAACTATACAGATTTGAGTTTAATTTGGAATTTTTAATTTGAGTGTTGCAGAGCTTCAATTTAGTTAATTTTTTTAAATTTTAAAGTGGATGGAAGCTGAACTGAACCACTAGGGACTAGGAAGATACCAAGACAATTTTTTTTGCATGATCAAGTAGCAAAACTGTTAACAACCCTAATTAAGTTTAACTTATTTGGACGGCTTAATTAAGTAATATCATGTTAATTATTTTATTTTTAAGACTCAATATGTAAATTAAAAATGAAATTAAAACATTTCAAAAAAATCATAAGCCGAACGGGATCAGTTATGTCAGCCACGTAACGGAATCTTGATCGTAACTTAGCTTCACTTTTACTTTTTCAAATTTCTCCATAAGAATTGAAATATGGCCGCTAAATTTTAAGAGGCTTGAAAGCATACTCATCATTATATAAATTTCGGATAACAAATATTGCCAATATAATTCGTTTGTTTGTGTTATTTGTATACCGGTATGAAATATGGCTGAGAGAGAAAAATCTTTACCTCGCCATTCCGACTCAGAACCAAAAATAGCAGGCATAACATTCGACACGATGCTGACTTTCTCACATCACTATGAGACAGCATTCGGATATTATCTCCTTCTAATACTTCCTACAGTGCTACAATCCGCACAATACAGGATGATCCTTAAAGCAATATGAAAGACATCCTTCGTTCAAAATGGCCACCAAAACAATCATTGCTTCTTACAGCCATTAACGATACCTCATTGAAAGCTGCGTCCGTCATCCTTTACAACAACGCTGCTCGGTCTGTCGTCGATTCACACTAACCTTCGGTGCAGCTTAATGGATGGCTGCCGCCGACACCCCAATTAGACACGTCAGAAGGACCTTAACCCAACCCTTCTCTGGGCACAAAATCTTTCTTGGCAGCTACAAATCCAGAATCGACAGTGGGCTCAACAACATTTATCTACCCTGGATTCAACCTCCTGATGATGTCACACATCCAATCGTTTGATCCAACGAGCAGTTATTTCACGCAGGGCAGCAACAACAGGAGAACTTGTAAGATTTCATTGTGGAAAACGATACCAACAAGCAATGCAACTTCAACGTCGACATCATAGATTCCCAAAAATGTTGCTGCTGGAAAATCGAAAATGAGATAAAATAAACATCAAAGAGAATTGTTATTGACAGAAAAACAACGAGATAAAAAAAATATCAAATAGAATTAATGACAGAAATTTGTTTTTATTACGCGACGTAGTTACATCTAAACTTCCGGCCACTTAATACACTCCATACAATCAATCTTCGTTTTGCGTCCAGAGACCCGGTTTCCCGAGGTAGGACGTTGTTTTCTTTGCCGTCAACTTTTTGCGCCAAATTAGACGATCAGTTGTATCCATTTCATTTAAATTTAGAGCTTTCATGTCTTGCTCGATTGTTTGCGACCAGGACTTTTTTGGACGGCCTTTGGGACGATCAATTGTATCCATTTCATTTAAATTTAGAGCTTGCATTCGTCCTTTATATCATCTAAACCAGCACGACGCAGGATTTCGGTGGATTTGATGTGGTCCTTCAGACTAATTAGTTGCAACCATCGGAGCATTTTCATGTCGGTTCGTTGAAGTTGTTGTTCCAGTTTGGTTGTCATTGGCCATGTTTCTGCACCATATAACAACACCGGACGTATCACAGATTTATAAAGTCTTGATCGTAGTGGGATGTCACGCCGCATCAATATAGAGGCAAGGAGATGCCATTTATTCCAGGCTGCACGTATGCGTGCTCGAACGGCAGCTTCAGCTGTTCCAGTACAATCCAGAACATCTCCTAGATATTGAAACGATGTGACTTTCTCTACCTTAATGGCTTCAAAAACAGTGCTATTTCGAATTTGTTGTTGTGGATTGATGCAAGCAGGACAAACAAAATTGGACACTTTAGATAAAGTACCAATTATTTTTGAACAACGTTTGTGACACCACTGGTTACACTGCTGACACTTGATTGAATTTTAATACACCCCATACGTATTAAAATTATGTAATTGTATATGAAGCATTACACACAGGAATGCTCGGTATCACACTGTAATTCCGTAAATGATAAACTATTTAATGAACCATGAAAGCAGTTGAAACATAGTACAATATGGGTTTGCCTTCAGTCAGTACAGTTAGTGGCTCAAATGGTTAAACAGGTGATCGCACAAACCATCATATGTAATGTTAACAGAACATTAAACCAATATAATCGATAATAATGAAATTAAAATTAGCATGTACGCACGAAGGAACAAATTTCACCAAAGCTATGCTATTTGAAACTGAATGAAAATGAATACGTAAAAACAGAAACTAATCTGCAAAATTTATTGTTGAGATATTGTTGCACGATTAAAACTATTCTTAAAGCTACAGTGCTCATGAATAAACATTCGGTTTTAGAAATTTAACAGAATCCAAGTTCAAAACCAACGACGCAAGAAATTTCAAGCTGCAATAAGGAAATATGAAGTAGTAACCATGAAGCACGATGTTTAGCTTAAGTATTGAACACAAGCATTTCATTTGGCGAAATTGAAATATAAAATTTAAAAATATTGATAAACTTCAAAGAAAATCATGAATAATGTAGTTAATGAAGAGTAAACAAATTTGAATAATGTTTCAGTATAAAGTCATAAAACAATTGATTGATTGATGAATAATTGCATACAAAAGCAAAAAACAAACAGTGTATTTAATGATTTGATGATTTGTGTTCAAATCTAGCAGTCAATCTTTTAGAGAAGTTGGGAGATTTAGGTTCAGTCACTGGCTTATTGCTTGGTTCAATTTTTAGAGGCTTGCCCGATTTTATTGGCTGAGCTTGGTGGACCATCTGATCTCTCATCTTCTTAACTTCTTTTTCTTCTTCCTCCATGCGAATTTTTTGATTTTCAAGTGCGTGCCTTTCAATCTCTTCTTGGTGCTTCAAAATTAATTTGTTTCGTTGTTGCCACTCAGTCGCTCTCTTCTCCAAATTCGTAGGCACATGTCTCTCTTCATTAGTGAGACCATGCAGACACAATGTACTGCTGTTGTGTTGCAACTCTGGAACAAAAGGTTCATTGTTTAAAACAGAAGCCGGTTTGGCTTTGAACGTTCTAGATTCCTTATCTCTGAGCATCTCTTCTTCGAGTAATTTCTGCCATTTTTCGTGCTGAATGGCAGCTCTTTTGTCAGTTTCCAAAATGAACTCTTCTATCATTGTAGCAGGCTTCAATTTTTTAGCAGGAAGATTTGGAACAAATTCAGGCAGCGGATTAGCAACAAATTTTCGGGCTTCTTTTTCCATTTCATAGACTGCTTTTATTTTTTGTTCTTTTTTCTCCAACATTTCCTTGTCTCTTGAATCAAAAGAAAATGGTGCAGATTCAATATGTCTACGCTCCAAATGAGGTTTAAACTGTGGAACACTTGGCACAGAAAAAATTTTTGGAAATTCAACTGTGGATTTGTTTGTGTCATTCAACAAAGCTTGAAATTTTTTTGTGGCATGCAACTCTGAGAACTCAGGAGACTTAGCTTCTGTTGTCGAAATTTTTGGACGAGGTTTAATACCAACTGGACCAGCCAAAATCTTTGACGGTAGAGGTTTAGCATGAAATTTGTATACTTCATCAGAAGTAACTGAAACAAGAGTTTCATCAAATTTTTGGTGATTGTCATGTTTAGCTGCTGTTTCTATTTTATTTGAATTAGTCTTTGGAACAATTTTTTTATTCAGAAAAATATTTTTGTTCAATTTTGTTGCCTTAAATTGGTTTTTCATAATTTCTTCATATTCTGCTCTTTCCCTTTCTTCCTGACTGGGGATGTCAACAGGTCTTGCACGACTTTTTGTGAGTAACTTGGGTGTTTTAGGGATTGTTCTTTTTGGTCTCTTTGCTTCTTTTGCATCTAACACTAATTTTTCTTTTTGCAGATCATTAGCACTTTTATAATGAAACCTTGTTGGAGTTTTTGTTATAAATTTATTACATTTTTCTGCAAGTGTTTCAACTTTTTGATTGTTTGTACAAGATTCCTTAGAATTGCCATGAAAAACAAATGGAACAACCTCAGTCCTCCCAGAAAAATTATAAGTTTCTGTGTGCTTTCTTAATTCAGAAACAAAATCAATTCCCTTTTCAGCTAGAGTCTTCGCATCTGAGCCTGACTTCATCCTCAAGTCATCAATTTGTAGAAGTTTTTTGTCAGGTTTGGATAAAGGTTGTTTTTTTAAAATGTTAGCTAATTTTCTATCTTTAGCTGCCACAACACGCATGTGTGCAAACTTCATTTTTGCCTCTCGTTTTTGATTTTCTTCAAATTCTTCATCAGTCATGTTGCGTTTCATCGCTCTGAGTTCTTGACATCTTTTTAATACCAATGGAGTTTTAGGAATTGTTAACCTTTGTTTAACTCTGCCGTGGTCTTCATCACAAAAATCCTTCTGTCGTTTTCTTCTACTAATGCTCAAAGCCGGATCTAAATTCTCCTGATTGTCATTGGCATACGAAATGGTAGACTTGTACGAATCGTTGGAACGTGAAGTGTCGAAATCGTCCATCATCGATTGTTGTTCGAATTCGTGGTTTTCTTCATGTTCGTGATGAACAACGTTGAAGTAATCTTCGGCACTTTTGTCATCATCCGTCGGAGTTTTAAAATCGACATACTGCGGTGCGTCATATTCGTATCTATCTTTGCAAGCGTTGGCCATTTAAAAACTTATTACTAGTTTATTTATTATTACAATAAAACCACAATATCGGGCTAGCAAATAATAGAAATTTGAATGATGGCGGTATCGACAAAAACACTAAAATATTTGCTAGAAAATAAACATTTATTTTTAGGTACACTTTCGCCAATAAAATATTTCGTACACTTAAATAGAATAATGTTAAAAGCACATTGCAAGTTAGTTAGCCAATTGTATAAGGGTTCATTAACATATTTGTTGTTGAGGGATCATTAAAATATTACATATATGTTTCATTTTTTTTTATCGAAATCTTCGTCGATAACCGCTTCTTGATGGTCATATATATATAGAATAAAATATTAGACCTTTGCGTTATAAAAAGCTTTTCCGAGAGGTGTAAGGGGTAATTAGCATATTGCCGCTTAAGTGCATTTATATAAAATTTTTTATTAACATCATTCTTAGAAGATCTATATATTCGCTCAAATTTTCTACAGCTTCGCTTACACTCTCGACAAACAGAATCGAACCAAGGCGCTGTTGGTACATATCTCGATTCAATCTCATGTAATGGTGCAACCGTATCAACATTGGAACGAATTTCACATTCAAAAAAATCAACTGCTTCATCAAAAGTTTTGAAATCAAAATATTTTCTAAAAATGTGTTTTTCAACTAAAGCTATAAACTTTTCATTATCAACACGAGACCATGAACGAACATGTTTTTTGGCCTTTACAATGGGGGGGAGGCTAAGCGAAATACTCTCTTCAATTAAACTGTAGTCTGAAATGACACCACTAAGCTGAACCGAACAACTTACAATTGATAAGTTTTCAGTAGGGACAACCAAGTCCAAAGTGCCACCCAATAAATGCGTAGGCTCACTGACGATGTTAGCCATATTAAATAATGTAAAAATTTCTTTTAATCGAATAGCATGCAGATCATAATGTTTTTCAACGTGAATGTTGAGATTTCCCACCAAAATTAAATGATCACAAAAATTTAATAAATACTCCAAAGTGAGGGTTAGCTCCTCAAAAAATTTAACTGATACCATTTGTGAACCTGGCCTAATATATATATATTGTATATATATATATATAATATATATATATATATATATATAATATATATATATATAAATATATATATATTGTATATATATATATATATATATATATATATATTTGAAAGTTAATCTACCGTTGCTGGATTCGTTTGAAGCGGTTGCGCTTAATCGAAATATGGCCTTATTTGCAGCATGAATTCGGAAAATAAGTTTATTTTGAATTTTAATAAACTAAACGTTCACCAAAAAACTTTAGTGAGAAAAATTGAAAAAACAAACTACAAACATATTAACGCCAAACATTCGGTAGAATTTATAGAATATTGTAATTCTAATTATTTTTCTCATAACTTCACTAAACTTACTACTGAATCTTTTTCTGTATTTACTCCAATAAATCTTTTAGAACTAACTAAAATTATTAATTCTGTGTCGTCTACAACCTGTTCTCTAGATCTACTTCTTTCTAATTTACTTAAAGAATTTTCTTCAATACTTTATCCAATCATTCTCAAATTAGTTAATTTATCTCTTTCCACCTCCAAATTTCCTACTTCTTATTCCTATTCTTAAAAACTCATCCTTAGATCCTACCTCTTTATCTAATTATAGACCTGTAACTAATATTACTTTCATCTCTAAAATAATAGAAAACGTAGTTTTTAATCAACTGTCATCCTATTTAAACTTTAACTCCTTGCTACCTGTATCTCAATCTGGTTTCAGACCTGCTCACAGTACTGAAACTTCTTTACTCAAAATACACAATGATATCCTTCTCTCTAGTGACAATAGTAATCTTACTCTCTTCTTGCTCATGACTTTTTCTCGGCTTTTGATACTGTTGACCATACTATTCTCTTGAGACTGCTGCATCATTCTTTTAATATTACTGATTCTTGTCTATCTTGGTTTTTTTCTTATCTTTTTAATCGTTTTTCTTCTGTTGTTCTCAATAATTCTACTTTCAACTCCTCTACTCTTACTTTCGGGGTACCTCAGGGTTCTATCCTTGGCCCTCTTCTATTTATACTCTATACTTCTGAACTACCTCGTATTATTAATAACTTTTCTTTCTCTAGTCAACTATATGCTGCTGATTCTTACATTTATACTTCTTTTCCTCCATCTAATCTCAATAGTGTTCTTCATAATTTATCTCTATGTCTTTCTTCAAATATTGCTTGGTCTGACTCTATGTGTCTTAAACTTAATTCTTCTAAGTTTGAATTAATTTGTTTTAATAAATCTAAACACTCTATTACTATTCCTCCTATTATCTTACCTGATTCTAAAACTCTTGATGTTTCTCATAAGTTTCGTAGTCTAGGTTTTATCTTTGATTCTACTATGTCTCTCTCTTCTCAGATTAATAGTGTTGCTAGAAGCTCTTACTTTCATCTACGTAGAATAAAAAAACTTTTGCCTTTTCTTGATTATCCTAATCTTCTTCTTGTTACTTCGTTAGTCTTATCTAGGATTGATTATTGTAACTCGCTCTACTATGGTCTTCCTGATTCTATACTCTATCCTCTAAGTAAAGCTTTTAACTCTGCTGCTCGTCTAGTTGCTCGTGCCCCTTTCTTTTCTCATATATCTCCATATCTTGTTCTCTTGCATTGGCTACCTATAAAATATAGAATAATTTTTAAAATTTGCACGTTCATGTATAAGTCTCAATCTAAATTATTTCCTACGTATTTATCAGATATATTAATTGAACCTAAACGCCCCGGTTTACGATCGTCTTCTTCTTCTCGCTTTTTCTTAACTCGTGTTAAACACTCTTTTGCCAAATCTGCTTTTGCTTTTTCTGGTCCTTTTCTCTGGAACTCTCTACCTACTTCTCTGACTACTTCTCCATCACTTGCGAAGTTCAGAGCGGATCTCAAGACCCATCTGTTTTCAAAATTCATTGAGGAGCGCTGTTGAACATCGCGGAAATAGCGCTTTATAAGCTAATTGATTGATTGAATTGATTGATTGTAAAAATTATGGTCTATTACCAACATTTTATTTATATATATATATATATATATATATATATATATATATATATATATATATATGTAAATTATATAAATAGTAACTTGCTGTTACTCGCCCGTTTTGATTAACTTAACATACATAATTAAACTCCAAAATTTTTTAACACAATCTGCTAATTCAGTATTTTACAGTTAAATCTTTTTCAAATACAGTATATAATATTTTTTTAACAAAATTAAGATTATTTCCATGACTTATTTTAAATGTTTTAAAACTGTTTTTCGTTCGTTTCTCTGGTTGAAAAATTATAACATTTTTTGATGAACTTATACTTGGACTCGCTACGTAAAACTGGCTGGGTTGTTTGAGTGTATAAAAAAATTAACTTGTCTTCTAAATTTTGTCTTCTAAAACTGTATTTATAGACTCATATTTCACACATAAACGTGTTAATTGATTTTTATTAGAGAAAATTTATTTTGCTTGCTGCTTAAGTTTCTATATATAAAATTAGGAGGGAAAATTCCTTATTATCATTTCATTTACTACTATGTAAAAGTGTTTCGTAAAAATTGTTTGAGTCTTTGACCAAATAAGTTTTATTCATTCGTTAGGATTTGAAATTTTTGTGTAATATACATTTTTCTTTTTTTATTACGATATATTATTATTATATTCTTTTTATGTTTTCATACATTCTAATTAACGTTAAACTATTTTCGAAAGTTATATTTAATAAATACACTATATTAATATGTCATAAAAACCCTATTTTAATATTTTGAACAACGAATATATAGTTAAAGTATAAACACCGGTTAATTAATAATACTCTGAATTATTATGGAATGCTTGTGGGCATTGTATTATCGGCTGCTCAATGTTGTATATTGTTCATTTTATGTATATAATATATATATAAAATATATATATTATATATATAGCATCTTTTCACCATTAAATATTTTTAATTCACAAACGAAAATAATTTTTAAATTTAATGTTTATTTCAATCAAAATGTTCTTATTTGAATTAGTTCAGCGTCACAATCATGATCATTTTTAAAAGCCAACTGTAATTATTACTTGCTTTTAATTATTATTATCATTCATATTTCGTGTGGACGCCTGCATCAAGGATTATTAAAATCGAAATCCGTGTGAGCAGTTTCAATACTCGTACTTGATCGCTTTCTTCTGCTACGTGAGAAATCAGCTGGATCGAAAGATTCAGTGACTTCCTGGTCCGTGTTCGAGAACCACATCCTGTTGGAACAGTTGTGGATGACAGATTTATAATGTTATATGTGGCAATGTGATGAAATGATATTTTACTGAATCTAATGCTATCTGTGTTGTGCGGCTGAAAAGGTTTATTAATTTGTGTGACGTATAGGACATAGCTCCAGCCATTAAACTTAAACTAAAATTAAACATAGTGTTCAGTGAAAAAACTTCAAGATTACAAAACTGTCATGGATTGAACAAAACATTGAGTGAGCAAAAGATTTTTCATTTAAATACGATTTGTGAAAACCACAGTCAACATTCTCTCCAGTTCTTCTCATATCCCCAACATAAAAACAAACTTTACGACAGAACAATGAGTTGGATACCTACCAAATAAAATTAAAACTAGTTGTGCTCACTCATATACAAATAAAAAAAACTGAAATACGTGTTCCTCGATTATCAAATAAAGTCGACTTTAAAAAATAAGGTAATTAAATATTTTCAACTACAAATTAAAAAAAGAAATTTTATAAAATTTTTTACTGAAGTGTTAACCTTTTCAACACATGTTTGCAACTACGACCGAATAAAACATCTTTATTTTCTAGTTATGTGATAAAACGGCGTGACCTTAATCTTAAAATTGTTGATTGTTTTTGGTGTGTTCTAGGATGGGATGGAACTTGGTTTGAATAATATTCAATTATGGGTACGCTTGTACCATGGATCCGGTCTCGGATTAGTACGAATACTATTTTTAAATTTTGATACCACGAATATCGGTTTCTAGGGTAGGTCCAATTCCTAAAGGGACCTGCTTCCCGTGCACAAATGATTCAGAAATGTTTAACAAAAACTCCCTAAAAAGACTTTTTGATGAATGCTTCGTAAATATCGTATTCAGTAATAGTTTTATTTTTATACTAAATAAGTTTTGATTAAATGTTCTTATTGCAGTATTTTATTTTTCAGGTTTGTTTATATCGATACCCTGTGATGTTAAAAGTTACTTTAAATGTTATCTGCCGGATGGCGATGCGTCCCAACCCCATGTTCTTCCTTTCACATTCGTTTTTTTTATTTAATTTAGAGGATAGAAAAATATACTAAGGAGTGAAAATTGTTACAGATTTTTACATATTTTCTGCTTTCATGGCTTGACGTGGGTTTTCATCTCTGTCTCATTCTCGCTGAATCCGTCACTGATGGCTTAATGATATAATTCTAATGCTAACCATTACGTTGACAATTGACGGTTTGCGCTAAACGAAGTAGTAATTTTCGTCATAAGAAGTTAACTTTTAAATCATTTTGCATTTCTGTGTTATAATCCTTACAAAATTCGAAATTTTCTAACGCAGATCCTTGGATGAATAATTAAAAGAAAAAATTAGGATTAATTTTGGCGAGAGCATCCTTGTGGCAATTGAAATTTAATTTTCGATCAAATTTTATTTGGTGTGTATTAGTAATGATGCGTTTCTGAAAATTATTAGAAAATTGTTATTAGGATGTGGAATGAAATTACTTTGGATTGAATGTTTCCAACTTGGATTTCATTTTTTTGCCCAAGTTGCCGACAACAGCTACAAGTCCAGTTGCAGAGCTTTCATCCTTTTGTCTGCTGTTCAGGTAGTCGTTCTCAACCAGGTGTGCACTTGGTGAGGTCTGTTGGTGTGAATGTCATTTAATGTGTTGTTAGGATAATGTTGGCTTCATTTGTTCACCTATGTTGGCTTCATTTGTTGACATTTATCAGTTTGAATTTTTGAAACAAGACAGTTCGAAGTATAAAAATAAAGATGTAAAACTAAATGTAATTTAGTCAGAAACTAGCTGCAAATTGTGTTAGTGTTTTATTTTAAGTATGATCAATTTTTCTTGCTAAATTTTAGTAAGGCCAATAAAAACAAGATCTTTGAACGGTAAAACAATAAAACACAAATATTGAAACAAATAAAAACGTCGTGCAAATGTATAACAAACATCGTGGAGAACGAAGGTGGGATCTGTTGTAGCGGAAGAAGAAGAGATAGAACTGTCGAAGACGATGCTGTTGTCGAAGACGATGCCACCACGTCCACTCATCTCTATGGCCGAGGGTGTTGACCGATGACCCAGGTTTGTTATCTTCTGTCTCATGATTGGTATGTACTGTCTGGTGCAAGTGTTTCAATGTTTTCCAACAATGATCATGTGATGATTCTAGTGAACAAAAAACCAATTTCAAATTTTCTTTTTCTTACTTCAGATAATAACATTGATTGATTAGGAAACCACATAAACTAAAAATAACATTAACTACAAATTAGAAATAATGTTTGAATATGTCTGTTTAATTTTAAATGGAGGATTTATGTTGTGGAAGTTGAATTATTATGAAGGTTGAGATTGATTGAAGTACCTTTGTATCTTCTGGCGCATTGTGAAAATGAGGATGAGCGCGACGATGATGATGAAGATGATGAAGAACAAGGAAACACGCCAACCAATAGACTTCGAAGAAGATGAAGATGATGATGACGATGATAAAGTTGAAGACGATGGTAATAATGTTGACGACGACGATGATGGTGGTTGTGATGGTGATAAGGTTGACGACGACGATGATGATGATGATGACGAAGACGACAAAGTGGAGGACGATGGAGATGCTGGAGTTGTTGTAGCTAAAAAATACAAACCATATAAAATATTAATGTGAAAGGTGAATCTGAATATCAAACTCATCAAAAGCTACACTCAGAAAAATGACATTCACGACACGGATATCAGTTTAATTCTTTTAACAGGTATCTGTACAAATAAAAATCAACATTTTCCAACAAATGCATCCACAATGGGATCAACGGACAGACATCCACACTAATAAAAGCAGCAATGAATCCCCGGCACTTCCAGCAAAAATCTGGAAGAAGACACACAGGCATGCATTCAGTACAGTGGTACTGGTTGATGGGCCTGAAGAACGAAGCGTTCACAACCAGAAGCAAACAACCAAACTTTCCTACCTAGGGACTCTCCACTCGATGTCATTATGCTGTTTGTTGTTATGGTGTAACCGGGATTTAATTTTCTGAATCCATCTAACACTTCTGAATAATTTTCAACGAACAAAATAGTAATTGTAGATTGGGATTTAAATGGTGTATGGGGAGATTGAAGCTCACCGTTCAGTGCCTTCTCCGTTTCTTGGATTGCATTCAGAGCTGAGCCGTCGTCTGTTTCGTCTGCCGCCACGAATTCGAAATCTGTCGCATTTCCATCCGCTACCATCGTGCTCACCATCTTTTTAAAAATTTCATTATTTTGATAATTATTTAATAATCATATTTTTAATTATCTTATTATTATTTAATTTTAATAATAATTAAGGTTATTTTTAATGATAGTGTTATTATTTCATATCATTTTATGTATTTGTTATATAATGATTTTATTGCTATTTAATAATATTAGTATTTTTACGATCATTATCGTCATCATGATAATTATTATCATTTCTCTTATCTTTGAGAATTGAAAGGAAGCACCTTCGGAATTGAGAGGTGCCTATCGAAGATCTTGTGATATATTTCAATCTTCGAATATTTCTCGTGCAAGTGTACATCCACTTTTAATCCTGGCGTGATACAATTTCTTGAATAAATGAGATAATTTAGATGAAAAGCAATTAATTTTTTAAAAATAAAATATTTCTGGTAGGAATAAATTTCAATCATCAATCGATAATATAAGGTATAATGAGTAATAATATGAAAAATGAGCAGTAACTAAATGTCCATATACGTACACAAAAGCAACATACAAACAGCATACAAATATCATTTACCACACACAAACAACAAACACACCACATAGAAACAACATACACCCTCATCTTTCATTTGAAAAACATATTTGTCAACTTTGCCAATGATGTCTCTACCAACTCCACAGAATATGATCAATCAGACGTTTTTTGACAGTTGAGTCAACAAAAGCAGTTATAAATATTTTTATCTGTGGAAGAATTGACTACTGCAGTGCGATTATGTTTTGTGTCAATTTGTCCTTTCGTGAATGATTTGCAGTCTGTTTGGAACACTGCAGCATGACTTGTTGCTGGTTATTCGAAATCAGGGATGATTCACACTGGCTCCGCTTGCCAGAAAAAATCGCTTTCAAACTAGCTCTTCTAGTCGGAGACTGTCTTGCTGGTGACGCTCCAATTTATTTGAAAGAACAACTACTATTAGTTTCAGAAATTGCAAATCCGAGTCGACTGAAATTCTCCGATGATAGTGGTCTTATGCTTCCTAAATTTAATTCGTCTCGTTTTGGAAAGAGAAGGTTTTTTTGTTTTATTGCAAAAATCTGAAACTCATTACCTATAGATTTAAATTAAAGAAATTCAACAACACGAGCCGACGTGTTTTCAACAAACTTTGAAACGTTATTTGTTTTGACATTCCCGGGTGAAGCTAACACTTCTGAAGTTATTAAATAGGGGCGCTCCACAAATCCTTGGGTACAGATACAAACAAACAACATACAAACCACATACAGACAAGCAAACATACAAACCACATACAAACAAGCAAACATAGAGGACAGGTACTGACCACATACTTGGCAGCAGTGATCTCGAGGTTTGAATGGATTATTGCAGTGTAGTAACGAAGGACATTGAACGTAGCTGCATATCTGTCTAAAACGCTGGTGACGTGTTTGTAACATTCTCAAGTTATTCAATCGTTAAATTATATTTTTAATATTCACTTTTAAAAACTAAAATTGAAAGCTAATTTATTTTCTATTTAAAAATTTTAACTGTGATTTTATAAGATATATAGGTAAAGAGTTATCAAAAAGAAGTGTTACAATAAGAAAATAATGAACCTGATTATCGCTCTCACAGAACATCTCATCGATGGTGTCCCCACCAGAAATCTTAAATATCGACGACGCCGGGACATCAAACCTCTCACTGCTCATGTCGTTTCTTGAGAATCCGAAGAACTCATTTTCAGATTTAAAATATTTCTGGTTGATTGTGAATGATTGGATAGCCGTGATGTATTTTTCGCTTGCTTACCAGCCAGTTCATAAATCATTTGCATGCCTTAACATTCCTACATGTTTAAATTTTTCTTCTGCTTTTGTAAATTAAAGTTCCACACACTATGCAAGTTATTTATGCGAACAAGAAGTTAAAAAAAAAACAAATTTTATCTTATTACATGACACGATGCACGGTCGGTAGAAGAATGTTTGTACATTAAACTAGTTTCCGTGCAGTATTATAACAGTCTGTTTCATTAAGTGATGAGCCTAAAAACATTTCATTTTAAACGTATTTTAAAACAGAAGGAAATCTAACCACTGATTCAACCAAGATGATAAACTTCACTTGAGTTACTGCACGGGGTTCTATTTTGAAATTGAAATCAGTTGAGTAGGATAGAACGATAGCTGAGTTTTTGCACGGAACTCTCTGCGCGTGTGTGAAGTGGGTCGCATTCTCAAAGTTATCATACTCCATGAAACCTCGCTTCTCCAGAATTGGGAACCAGTTGGAGGGGTCGTGCCAGAAATGTTTTTCTTGCTTTTTAAAGCTTGTTTCTGTTTGAAACGTTTTAAAATGTATTTGGAACAACGAAACAATTTTCTTCACGATAATCTTTTGAGATTTAGTTTTAGCGATCGCATAATGTACACACTAGGTACACGTGCCTGATACGAAGACTCAAAAGCGATGTATGCGCGTGAACCTCGTTGGAGTATGTATCGCATTGAAACGATGCTAATGTATGGTGCACAAACTGTTGGTCTTAACTTTCCAGCTTAAACGATCATCATCATATTTCTATTGAATAATTTATTATAACATTATCACGATGTTCACGAAACAATCATCATCATTTAACAAAAAACATGAAAATAAAGAACGAAAAAATTGAAACATCTTCCAATTAAATAATAATTAATAATATTGTTTTAATTCAGTGTGATTTTCTGTTCGAACGTTTCCTATGTAGGCTAACAAATCACAACAGTTTTGTCTTTTTGTGTTTGCATTGGGTAGTTACATGTGCGGGCAGATGATTTTTTTATTACCCACTCTGTCATTTAACTAGTAATTCAACAATATTGAGTATTGTTTACATTTTTGTTTAATGCAAGTTGTTTCAATAACCTTCTGTTTAATATCATAGGGTTTAACATTTGTTGCCAAGAATTGTGCACAATTCACTATTATTTATTTAAAAAAATCCTTAAAGACGATAAATTATTCAATTATCTTTAAAATTATTAAATTTTGAATATTTTTTCATCAATATTTGATGCGTATATTCAGAGTAACAACTTTTCGCGAAGCATCTACATAAAATTGATGTTTTTTTCAATACTTTTTCATAAAAACGATCAATAATTGTCTAACTTTTCTAAAAAGCAGCCTACTCAAAAATAAATCTATATATATATGGAATCAGTGGGAGACCTAGGGAGGGGGAGCTGTTGGGAGCAGTGTTTTTTAGCAGGAAAACATCGTTCTAAAATTCAAAATCCACCAAAATTGATTGGCGCGATAGGCGAAAAAAAAGAAGCGGTAGCGACTATTTTTTAATTTTTTGTCTCCGTCGTCAAATTTTAGATTTTTAAAAATTTAGCTCTCCCTCTATCAACCTTGCCTATCAGTGTAGAATTTAGGTTACAGAATAATATAATAAATATTCTGTACGTAAGCCTGGATTGGTTGAAAATCTTTTTCGTGTTCGTATCGTAAAATAGATGCTTAATTAATCAATTTAAAAATTTGCTTCATATCTAACGGAATTTGTAAAGTTTGAAGTTAAATAATTACGATTTCTTTGATTTCATTCTTGCTTTCTTTCCTTCTATCTCCCTTTCACTTTTTCTCTCTCACACTCTCTCTCTCCCCCTCTCTCTCTTTACTTTATACACCAAACACACCACACACACATTAACACACAGACAGACAGACTAACAAATTGTCTATATGTATATATAGACAATTTGTTAGTCTCTCTCTCTCTCTCTCTCCCCCTCTCTCTCTTTACTTAATACACCAAACACACCACACACACATTAACACACAGACAGACAGACTAACAAATTGTCTATATGTATATATATATATATATATATATATATATATATATATATAGACAATGGTTTGTTTTGGACAGTCGTTTGGACGGTTGATATTGTCGTTTCGTCAGTTAATTTTGGTGTTTTCGTCGTTAAAAGTAATCGTTTATTGATATATTTTTGGATAGATTAACATAATAAGATTTTTGAATAATTTTATAAAAGATTTAGTTTGTAAAATTCATTATTTTAGTGAAATTTGATAATATATTGTCTGTAAATTGCTGTCACGTGATAGTAAGCGTAATTAATTATAATAATAAATTCAATAATGTCGTCCGGTAGTCGCTACTGTTGTACGAAGTGTACAATAAAAGTTCCAAGTAAAGATGTGTTGTCATGCACTTGTTGCAAGACTTTTGTTCACAATAAATGTGAAACTAACGATGATATTCTTGATATTTTGAAAAGTGTTAAAAAGGTTTAAAATGGTTTTGTCAACGTTGTTGTTGATTTGTCTCAAGATGTTAGTTCTTTGGCTAAGTCAATGGATGCGTCTAAAAATGAATTTGTTGCTCAACTAAATGAAATAAATGATTGTAACAGAAAAATAAAACTTGACGTTGATAGCATAAAAATGGTTGTTGACCATAACCAATCTAAACTTGATGAACTTGATCGTTTCGATACTGTTTTACGTGAGGAAATTAAAATTTTTAAAAACGAAATAAAAGAAACATTTTCTAGCATTGTCAGCAAGGAAGTTAAATTGAATGTTGAAGTAATTAGAAGTGATGTCAAATAAACCTAGAAAACTTTACAAGAAGCTAGTGACGTTAAAGAAAGAGAAACAAATTTATTGATGTTTCGTTTAGCTGAAAGTGATGATGATCGTTCCAATGTTTTGAAAATTTTAAAGCATTTGACAGGAGATGTTTCTGAAAAAAATGTAATCAAAATAATGAGACTGGGAAGGAAATGCGAAACTGTCGTTAGACCCATTTTGATAAAGTTAGATTGCGTTTTACTCAGAGACTCAATAATGAGAAATGTGTATAAATTCAAGTCGTTAAAAGAATTTTCACATGTTGGACTGAACTATGATTTAACAAAGGATCAGAGGCAGGAATTCAAATCATTTGTTGATAAAGCTAAAGTTATGGAGCGAGAAGAAAACAATCAAAATTTTTTGTTCAGAGTGAGAGGACAGGTAGGGAGATGGAAGATTGTAAAAATACAGAAAAAACCAGTGTTAATATAAAATATGTCAAGAATTTAGAAATAAATGATAACAATGATAAAGACTGCAACATAATAAATCGTAATTTAACACTAGGTTTATTGAACATTAGATCATTGATTTCTAAAACTGATACGATCTATGATTTGATTCATGATGGGCTAGATATTTTCGTTTTAGTCTAAACTTGGCAAGGATCTTCGAATAACATTTCTGTTAAATCATCAATGCCACCAGGATATAGTTATGTTGATTTTTAAGAATAAATGATCCTCACCATGGGGGTTTAATTATTTACTTCAGTAATGAATTTAAGTTTAAGAAAATAGATCTGCCAATATTTAGTTCATTTGAAGCACTTGCTGTTAAATTATTTATTAGCAACAAAGATTTTGTTCTATTAGCCCTCTACAGGCCAGGATCAGTTTTAGTTAGTAATTTATTTTCTGAAGAATTTTTATGTTTACTAGAAAATATCACTTCTTTTAGTTTAAATATCATACTTTCGGGCGATTTCAACATTCACCTTGAGAAACAGGAAGATCGTCATACTGTAAATTTATTGGAAATATTAAAAATGTTTCAATTAAAAAATTTGATCGACGAACCGACTCATGAACATAGAGGTATTCTTGATCTGATTATTTGTTCTCAAGATTTTCAGATTTCAGATATTAAGATTTTTCCCAGTGGGACTTTTTCAGACCATAGTTTAATTCAGGTTAACATATCATTAACTCATAAGCGTCCTAAAATAGTCAAGAAACAAGTTAGATCCTGGAAATACCTAAATGAAAGCAATCTCATTAAATATATACAGACTTCTCCATTATCAAGGTCTTGCCAAAGCAATAATATTAATATTGAGTTTGATATGATGAGTTCTGAACTCAAGAAATTGGCTGATGCAGTTGCTCCACTTCGTTTTGTAGAAGTCAGATGTGATGTTAATGCTCCGTGGTATGATGGTGAATGTAAATCTTTCAAAAGACTTTGTCGAAAGAAAGAAAGGAATTACAAAAAATATCAGACAGAGATATGTAAAAATGAGTGGATAGCAGCTCTGAAAAATAAATCTAGGCTTTTTTCACAAAAAAGAAACAGTTATTGGAAAAGACTTGTAGCAGACAATAGTGGATCTTCTAAAAATCTATGGAATGTTTTTAATAAAGTCCTTTGTAATCAGGTCACTGGTCAGTCATTGAGTGAAATTGTTTGTTTAGATTCGTCTCAATTCTTAAAGTTTTTTTAATGATAAAGTAAATAAAATTAAACAGTCTACCAATGTGAGTAATTGTCCAATGTACAATGGGAATTGTTCTTTTCCTGACTTTATGCTTCTAACAGAATCTGACGTTAAAAAAATTGTACTCAGTTTGCCATCAAAAACATGTATGATAGATGTCTTTCCGACCCATATTTTAAAGAAATATATTGATTTATTCATCGTTTTTCTTACCAGCATCTTAAATCTGAGTCTGAGCGGTGGCACATTTCCTAATGGTTGTAAGCATGCTATGGTTTATCCAGTATTAAAAAAAGTGAATATGGATCGAAATGATTTGTCTAGTTATAGACCAATTTCCAACATCTGTTTCATTTCCAAGATATTTGAACGAGTGGTTGCCAAACAGCTCTTGAATCATTTGAATGTAAACAACCTGCTACCAGTTCACCAGTCTGGATATCGCCGCTATCATTCAACGGAAACTGCACTGCTTTATGTGTTTTCTGAGTTGTTTGCTGCTTTGGACAAACAACATGTGGCTCTAGTCGCGTTTTTAGATATGAGTGCGGCTTTTGATTGTGTAGACCATCAGATTCTCTTGGAAAAATTGGTTTATGATTATGGTATTTCCGGTACTGTTATCAAGTGGTTCAGATCATATCTGTTTGACAGAAAGCAACAAGTAGTCTTCAATAATGTGTTATCTAATGAAACGGTTTTGACATCAGGTGTGCCACAAGGTTCAGTGCTTGGGCCTATTCTTTTTATCATGTATACCGCTGAAGTTTTTAAAGTAATTGGTAATTTCGGTTTTAAATATCATGCCTATGCTGATGATATTCAGATTATAGTTAGTAATAAGCCAGAATTACTGCAATCTGAAATCAACAAACTTGTAACCTGCCTAAATAACATAGATGGATGTCAAACAATGGTCTTAGATTAAATCAGCAGAAGTTAAAATTTGTTCCAATAGGTACATGGCAGCAGCTGATGAAACTTAATATCGATTCAGTGAAAATAGGAGATGTTAAAATAGAATTTAGTGAGAAAGCAACTAATTTGGGTTTCATTCTTGATTCTAGATTATCGATGCATGATCATATAAAGATGATAACAAATTCTTGCTCCGGACAGATTCGAGAACTCTATAAACTCCGTAAGTCATTAGATAAATCTGCTATTCATACCTTGGTGCATGCATTGGTTCATTCACGATTGGACTATTGCAATGGTCTGTTTTACGGTTTGCCAGATAGGTCTATTTCTGCAATTCAATCTATTCAGAATAGAGCAGCCAAATTGATTGTTGGAGGTCTCAAATTTAACCATGTTACTCCAATTCTTAAGAGCCTTCATTGGCTTACTATAAAGAAAAGAATTAAATATAAAATATGTATTTTAATGTATAAAACTGTGCATGGCTTGTTACTAAGTTATTTGATAGATAAAATAAAAGAAAAGTCTATAATGATGAGTGGTATGAACCTTAGATCAGATGATGGCATTTTGCTGGTTGTACCTGATGTCAATCTGCAGATAGCATCAAGAGATTTTGCAGTATCTGGACCAATGGTTTGGAACAGCTTACCGAGATCTTTTAGAACTAAAGATTTGAAACTTGATGATTTTAAAAAAAAACTTACATATTTTCGCTTTGATTTTGTTGTTAAGTGAATAATTA